CGACGCTCTGGCCTGACAGCATTGCTCCCAAACCACCTCACTCTCTACGGTCATCTTTCTTGTCCAACACTCACTGGACATTCTTGACACGTGAGGCACTGTGCTAGGCAGGTACTACAAGATGTGAAGATATGAAATAAATGCAGACTGTTCTTGTGCCAAGATGAGAAGTCACATGAAAAAAGATAAATAATGCTTGAGAAAGCAAAGATTGAGGAAACTGTCAGTAAACCAACAGGTCAAAGACAGAAGAGATCGTGGCAGAGAAGGGAAATGATGCAGACATTCCAGAACACTGAGCAGAGCCTGGTGGCTGGCACTTAGAGCGAGACTGGAGAAGCATAGGGAGCTGGATTAGGGAGCGTCTTAGAGGCCCAGGAAAGACCAAGGGCCTGAGGTCTACAAATACAGCTCCCAGGGATTCAACACATAGCAGATACTAGGCCCTGCATTAGGGACTTTACACACATTTTATTTTTATATTTAATCCTTCCAAAAATCCTTCAGTGAGGAAGCTGAGACTTGGAGGATTGAATTCCCATTTTTCCAAGGTCACCCAGCAAACAAAGGAGACGAGATTTGAACCCAGGTCCAGACAACTCCAAAACCTGTACTCTCGCTTGTTTACCACTCTTTTCCCTCCCTGGGTTTCAAAATTTAACAAAAATGCCTCCTTTTTAAGAAGCCCCCAGTGTTCCTATTTGCCCACTGAGTATCACGGAAACATGGATCTGAGAGGAAAGATCTTAGATGCGGAAGAAAAGAACATCGAGTTCACAGCTCCAGGACTGGGCCAAGCAGTGATGATGGTTCCTCATGGCTCACAAAGAAGAGCAGTTCTAACACTGGGGCCTCAAGGCCAAACCTTTAAGCCACCACCAGCATCACAAAGACAATATGGGAAAAAAGCAGAACAGTACTTTTGTAGTATTTATCTAAAGGAAAAAATAGCCAAATTCCTTCTATAAACCAGCTGGAGCCGTAACACTTAATAAAGACAAATATAAACACATCCTGCACTTATGTCCAAATAATCAATTGTCCTCCAACAGAACAAAGGGAATGGGTCTTTGCAACAGCATACATGAAAAAGAGTGAGAGGTTTTAGTCATCAAAAAGCCAACTATGGCCCAGTAATAACAGCAAAAAAAAAAACAAATGTGATCTTCAAACTGCATCAACAGAAGCATAACAGCTAGCAAGAGGGAGGTGAAAATTGCTTTTTTCTCAGCACAGTAGCATTCCCACCTTGAGGAAGAGGAGCGTCTGTCAGTTCTGGTGTTACACTCCAGGACATGACAAATTACAATCTTCATCTAGAGGACAGTGATCAAAAGGGTGAAATGTCTCAAAATATGCCACATCAGAGTAGCTGAAGAAACTGGGATTGTTTATTGAGGTTGATTTCTAAACGTTACAGGGTGCCTTTTATTTTTTTCTTTTCCTTTTGTTACATTTCCCAAGAGCTACCTTGGAGACGAAAAATTCAGATTCACTTTCTGACACAGAGGGCCAGGGAAACAGACTGCAACTCAGTATACGGAAAAACCTTCTAATAGTAGTGTCTGGAAATGATATGAGAGCTTTCCTGAATAGTGAGAAGGCCATAACGGGAGGTAATCAAGAGACACTGGAGAGATGTTGGACTACATAACTTCTGATGCTCTTCAAAACTCCAATTCCAAGCACACTGACACTCTCTTTTTTTCCTCCCATCAACACTGAAGAATCAGGGAAAATAAACTCTGAAAACCCAATGGAAGTTGGCCATAAATCAAAAATGGCTTAGCCCAGAAGACAGTTCCTGTGTCCCCAACCGCCCAGCTCCTGCGCCTCTTCCCAGCTCCCCAGAATGCCCCCTGGAAGGTGGGATGCAACAAGGAAGACTCACCTTTCTTCTCAAAGTCCCCTTTCTCTTCCCCTGGTCGGCCCAGGCTGTCCAGGGTGTGGGTCACCTGACTGCCAAACTCATCCTCACGGGAGTCGTGGTTGGCCCGCCGGGGTGGGTCCTCATCCTCCTCGTAGTCATAGTCATCCAGGATGGGGGTCTCCCGGATGGGCACGCCGATGACGGAATTGTGGGCCTGCAGCCGGGAGGAGCGGAAGCTTTCCCGGGCATGGGGACCCAGCAGCACGGAGGGGATGTAGTGGATCTCGTGAGTGGCTTCCGTGCTGGCGCTCTTCTGGGGGATGCGGCGACGCTTCTGCCAGCGCCGCTGGGCATACAGTGCCACAGTGAACACCAGCAGCAGCAGCAGCAGTGCAATGAGGCCACCCTGGAGTGAGAGGGAAGAAGGCAAGCAAATGGGCCACTGTTCCTTGGGCCGGAGCGCCAGAGGGGGTCTTCCGTCCACCACACTCAGCCCAGACCCCTGGGTTTGGCTCTCAGAGCCTCAGAGCGACACCGTTTCCAAACTTGGCTTTCTCACCAGCAAGCTGTGTGACCTTGGACAAACTGCTTCACCTCTCTGAACCTTGTTTTTCACTTGTATAAGGGTAAGAACCCCCATCCTTCCGTCTTCAGAAGGTTGCCATAAGGAGCAAATGAGATGGATAACGGTCACGCCAGAGTGATGCAGACTGCTAAACTCTGGGATGAGTCAGGGCTGTGGCTTCACACACAGAGTGTCTGAGTCCTGAACCTGCCTTCCACCAGCTGAGTGACCCCAGGACATTTGCTCACACCCTGTCAGCCTTGCTTCCTCATGTCTAGAATGAGTCCACTGAGGGCTCAAGAGACAGCAGCCTTTGTTCCATCCTGCTGGGAATACACAATAGTGTTGTCAAGTCAAACAATTTCTGCATAATGTATATTTTTATTATCATAAACACCGCTTCCCAGCAGGGGGCCTGGGACAAACTAGGCGCTTCATCAATATTTGTTGAATGAATGAATGAACAAATGCACTTGTTCTAGGGCTCCCTTAATCAGAAATTTAAGGCATACTGAAGTTTATTTTTCTTTAACACATCCAACCAGTAAATATTTGATTGAGTCTGCACACCATACATTAAATTGAAACAGGCTAAACTTTTTACGAACGGATCTTGCATGATTCATGAGACTCATGAAATATCCTGCTCTGTGAACTCCTCAAGGGTAGGGGTATTTCCAAAGCACGTCTGTGCTCCCCACAGAACCTGTCAAGGGCTGGAGGTGGAAGGTTTGTATTCTCCTCGCCTCCCTTCTTTCACTCTGTGCCAGAAGCATCTCCAATGAACAGGGGTAGCCCCTTCAGTTATTTTGCTTCACTTCATTATACATTGTGCTTTCTGCCTGGGAGATTCGGGGCCACTTTGTTGAGTCTCGGATGTGTAATCCCTACACTTGGGGAGGATCACGCTTGTGGTTTAGGGGGAGAGAGGCAAATAAATCAAGAGACTCTAGAACTCGGATGGTGCATAGCAGAGCAAGCTCTGAGCCTCACTGTGTGTGTGTGTGTTTGGTTTGGTGTTTTAGCTCTAAAGCCTGTATTCTTTCAACCACACCCATGTGGCTGATTGTTCTTCCTTAATTATGATCGCATTGAAGGCAAGGACAATTTCTGAAAACTACTTGTATAACATCTAGCAAAGATGACAGATGTTAACTAACCCTGAATAGATTATCTTGGGTGGGGGTGTGACTGCTGTAAAGGATACCTGTTTAGGCCAAGAAGAACATTATTTACTAAAATGATTCCGCTGTCCTGCTGACTACATTAAAAAATAATGATTTTCTTTTGCAAGTCCTTCAACTCACTAAGCTAGAATTCATCACCTCCACGGGGGGATGGGCAGTGGGTGGTAAGTGAGCTAAGAGGTGACCAGGGTTGCAGGTATGGCTGACAGCCCCGTCTTGACTCTGGCGGTGAGTTACTGTGGGATCCCCAGGAAGGGTTTCTCTGGATGTCAGAACTCAAAAATAAATATACTAAAAAAAAAAAAAAAACCTATAAGTATGCGTATTTATGTATCTGTGTGTGTGTGTGTGTGTGTGTGTGTGTGTGTGTGGGTGGGTACGATCTGTCAAGTGTATGTAAAATGTGTGTGTGTGATTGGACTTGACATATATACACTAATATGTATAAAATGGATAACTAATAAGAACCTGCTGCATAAAAAAATAAATAAAATTCTAAAATTCAAAAAAAATGTGTGTGTGTGTGTGTGTGTGTGTGTGTGCATGCGCGCGCGCATAGTTTAGTACCTCTGGAGCCCTAGAAAAACAAGAACAAACCCTTTTTTCCCTCCACAGAACATACAATAGAGATTGCTCTACGTCTAGAAATCATGTGTGACGTGGTATTACTTGTCAGTTTTTTACACCAGAGATAAGAAAGGAAAGAGACAGAGGGAGGAGTGTGGACGGAAGAGATAATAAGAAAGATAAGTGAAGAGAAAAAAGAGGCAGGAAGAACACTGTCACTCAATAAAACAGTAGCAGGCCCTCTCCTTACTACTTTTACTTAATGTTATTTTATTTAATCTTTAAGGCAATCCTCTGTAATAGTTTCTGTTCCATAAATGAAATGAGGGAAAGGTGGTTCAGAGAGGTTAAGTAACTTGCTTAAAGTCACACAGGTTTTGATCCTAGGTCCAACTGGGAATAAAAGGCCAGGAGGTGGTAAGACAGGGATTTGAACCCAGTTCTTCACTGCATGGCCAGTGGCTATTTGACAGCGTAGTGATTCTACAGAACAAATGAAGGGAAAGGAAAAGTGGGAAAGATGGTGAGAGTGTACAAAGTAAAAGGGAGTCCCGAGAAGGAAAAGGAAAACATTGTTTTCAAAGCCAGGATTCAGGGGGCACATCTCGAGGCAAACTCTTCAGAGAAGCTTTTAATTTTGGTCCACGGATAGCCTTCGGGAAACTGCCTTGCCTGACTCAGCCCTCTATCTTCTCCCGTTCGGGTGTTTCATTTGCTGTGAGGGGCAGACCTTGTCTGGTTCCAGAGTCCTTCATCCCCGGCCCCTTCTGCCCACCCTGATTATGGGTGTTTGACCCTGTGGTCAGACCCAGGACCAAAACTGACCTGGGAAAGATGAGGCTTAACCAATCTGTCCACAGGTAACCACCACCACTCCTCCCTCCCCCCACTGTATTCCGACAAGCCTCCCTGGATTCCCATGCAGTCCTGGATCAGCTCATAAAGCATCCCCAGGGAGCTCCTGGAAGGCAGGAAGCCCTGTCCTTTGCTTCCAGAGCCCTCTAGCTATATCTGGCATAGAGGCTAAGAGCTGACCTCAGATTGACACAGTTTTAGTCCAGGTTCTACTGCTTAAGAGGCTGTGTGACCTTGAATAGGTCACTACTTTTCAGAGCCTTGGTTTCTTCATTGGTTAAGTAAGGGCAGTATTCAGGGTCTCCTCAATGGATCATTGTGAGGCTAAGTGAGATGCCTGCAGAATATTTAGTGCCGTGTGGGACACATGTAACTGCTCACAGACTGTTAGCTATTGCTATTGCCAATGGCATTCGGCAATTGGATATTTAATGTTGAATGAATAAATGAATGAATGAATGAATGAATGACCTTCTGCCCCTGAATGCTCATTCTGCAAAACTTGTCTTGGGTCCCTAAATCCTTTTCAGTCTGGACCAAACACTTACATACGCCCTGTCATTTACCTTTACACCTGTGCACATAAGGCATCGTTATCCTGTTACGTGAGGAAAGAGGCCCAGAGACAGGAGGCTGCTTACCCAGGTAGTGCTGCTGAGATTCAGACTCACTGCATCATGGCTTCACAATTTCGCTTGTGGTGGGAAGGGACAGGCGCACCCAAGGTGTAATCAGCCCCTGCCCAGCCTCACCTCTGCCTCCTCAAATTACCTCGGCAACCTCAGGCACAGATTTCCCAGCCTAGGAGGCGGCAGAGGAAGACCACCCACCTCCCTCACCCCACTTTGATGGAAGCTGAGCTTGGGAGTCCCTTTAGCTCAATGATCTGCTGATTCATTTGACAGGACCCCAGGCCAGTGGCTCCAGCCCTCCTATTGGGGCACAGGCTCCCTTCCCTCACTCCCCAGCCTGCTCTGACCTCTGCTCCCACCAGCTCAGCTAAGCCAATGACCACACAGCTTCCATTACAGATCAGGGTTTCACTGTGAAAACTGGGCCAAAAGAGAATTCCAGTAATCAAGGTCTCACTTTGCCACTGACCAACGGAAACAGACATCCCCAGCCTGGGCTCCTAAAGGGCTCAGGGGGCCTCACCCAAGACATAGTAGCAGCTCGGGTGATGTTTCAAGCACCACTGACCAGCCCTACCTTCAGAGGTAGGCTCAGAGCATGCAGGAAAAGGTTCTGAATTCAAGTTTACTCACTATGTGATCTCAAATTTCCCAGATGCCCTAGAGACCCTCAGTTCACTCATCTGTAAAATCAACTTGGTAATACTTGGAATAGTATCGCACATAGTTAGGGGCAAAGGCTGGGGGTCAGAAAGACGTCTTTAAAATCTCATGCTGTCACATAAAAATGGGGCGATCACGGACAAAGGGCTGAAACTCTCTGAATCACAATTTTTTTCATTCACAAAACCGTGTAAAAAGCGTCCTATTATAGAGGGAGGTTAGATGTGAGTTCCTGGACACGGAGTGCTGTGCTCAGTGCCTGGCACTTGGTAAACCCGTGATGCACATGATACTCATCCATGGTATCCGCAAGGTTGTTGTGCAAATGAAATCTAAACACCGTTGTGACGGTCCTTGCAAACTGAAGGGTGCTGTGCACAAGCTAAGGAGCTCAAGAGAACCACATAGCCACCTCTGTCCTAGTGGAACATTTCACCCAAAGAAAACAGATGAGTAACTCAAAATCAAGAAGAAACTATGATCTGCATCCACCTGGATTGGTCCAGGCTGCTGTGCTGCTCCACTCCTGCAGAGCTGAGCCCCAAACAGAAAAGCAAGCAAACAGAAAAGCAGGAGCTGTCTCTGGAAAGGTGAGCAGGGCAGAGTGTCCAGCCACTGAGGCTACCCGCCAGGGGCAAACACAGACCCCAGCGGTGGAGAAAATGCTGCAGGGCAAGCAGGGAGCCCAGGAGGGAAAAGAGGATGTAAGGAGAAGCCTGTGAATGTTTAGAAAGCAAGTTAAGAAGAGGCCAAGGCTCAAGGGGTGGCAAGCTGAGGTCCTGCTGGCCTCAGGGACAACCCAAAGTCCAATCTGAGGTGGACTGTGTTTCCTCTAGGCAGCCCAAGACAAACAAGGTTGGAGATGTGGCCAGGAGTTGCAGAAATAAAAATCTCAGTCTGTTGGTTAGGGGTAGGTTTCTGTGAGACTACAAGCAGC